TTGGAAAATCTCACTCCACCTTCCAGAAACCAAAACCAAAAATCATAAACAAAGTATATGTGTGGGTTTAGGCGAGGCAAACAACACAGAAAGAACTCCAGTGTTTCACACCAGAGAAAGACCTTGGCCAAAAAAAGGAGGAGTAAATGCACACTTACATGTTTTAACATAAAATGGAATTTCTAAGGAATGTGTAGGTTTTTTGTTTTGTTTTGTTTTGTTTTTTGAGACAGAGTTTTGCTCTGCCGTCCAGGCTGGAGTGCAGTGGCACGATCTTGGCTCACAGCAACTTCTGTCACCTGAGTTCAAGCGATTCTCCTGCCTCAGCCTCCCAAGTAGCTGGGGTTACAGGCACGTGCCACTGTGCCCAGCTAATTTTTGTATTTTTAGTAGAGACGGTGGTTTCACTATGTTAGCCAGGCTGGTCTCGAACTCCTGACCGCAAGTGATCCACCCATCTCATCCTCCCAAAATGCTGGGCTTACAGGTGTGAGCCACTGCATCTGGCCAGAATGTGTGGTTTTTTAATGACTCTGCACTTTAATCACCTTTTATGATTAACTGATGCACCACTGGTCTCCAGCAACTCAGGGGCAGCCACTGATCTGACCACTCAGGAAGGTGCCTGCAGGGCTAAAGTTGCCACTCACCACTGGGGTCATGTCTTGACCCCCCAGACCCCTCTCCTCCCCCCGCCTTCCCAGAACCAGAGGTGGAGCCAGGATGGGTCAGGTCCAGATCAGCCCCTCATAGCCAGGTCATTAACATGTATTTTGTTCTAACTCTTTTGTTTTTTTGTTCTTTTTTTTTTTTCTCTTTTTTTGTTTTTTTTCAGTTTAGTTTTGTTTTTTTATCCTCTCTTGTTCTAAGTCTTTTAAAGAAAACAAGTGCAGCATTTGACATCTGGTCTAGCTGTGGGCTTCTTATCATTTCGTTTTCGGCCTGGATGAGGAACTCAAAAGAAAGATTGCCTTGCTTTCTTTCAGGCTGTAGGAGGGCAATGAGGCAATCATATTTTTTTCCTTTTATTTAATATCTTATTTTCTTTAATATCAAAATGAAAGGTGAGGTATCAGGTCATCTTCATTAAAAGCTCAGACTTCGAAGGCAACATGATCCAGGTTCTAGTCCTCTCTTCTGCACAATTAGGGACAAGTGACTTAACCTCTGTGTACCTCTGTTTCTCATCTGTGAAATTTCACTTAGAGCAGTGTTGTTTTAAGGATTAAATGAGATACTATAGGGCAAAGAGATTACCCGGGGGCCTGGCATAGAGTGGTGATAGCTATAATCATAATTATCAACGTGTCATAAGAAAACCCATTAAAAGAGAAAAAGACAAATAATAAAATTAAAGTTACCAATAATCCACCATTCACTATAATGAGATTTAGTGGCTCCAATTGTCTTCTTCCTCCTGTATTCTATCCACATGCAAATTGATTTTAGTAATACAATTGTCATGTTTTACCTTTTCCACTTAACGTTGTATTTTCAGCACATCCCATGGCCTTAACTGTTCTTCAGAAATGTGATTTTATATCTTATGTATCCACTAGAATGGGTTTCCAATTTTTTTCTATTTAAATAATGTGCAATGGCCGGGCACAGTGGCTCAGGCCTGTAATCCCAGCACTTTGAGAGGCCAAAGTGGGCAGATCATAAGGTCAAGAGATCAAGACCACCCTGGCCAACATGGTGAAACCATGTCTCTACTAAAAATGCAAAAACAATTAGCCAAGTGTGGTGGCATGTGCCTGTAGTCCCAGCTACTTGGGAGGCTGAAGCAGGAGAATCACTTGAACCCAGAGGTGGAGGTTGCAGTGAGCTGAAATCATGCCACTCCAGCCTGATAGACATAGCAAGACTCCGTCTCAAAAATAAGTAAACAAATGATGTGCAATTAATATCCTGAGATATAATTTTTAGCCCTGTCTCTGATTATTTCTTTAAAATAAAATAGACTTTCTGGTTCAAAGAGCATGAACTCTAGGACTCTTTTTTTTTTTTTTTTTTTTTTTTTTTAAGGACACAGCTGCAAGGACTCTTACCTACAGACAAACCCCTTTGCAGAAGGGCAAGACTGGTGATCACGGTGAAATGAGTGCCCATCCCCCACCTCACCCCAATATGTTCCTTTTTTTCATTGTTGCCAAACTGAAATGCAAGAAGTGATCAAGACCCATTTTCAAACTTAAAAGCCCTGTCTGGCGATAAACCATGTGAATCAGAACAGGCCTCCACCTTCCCATTTCTGTACTGTGGCCCTGTGCACCTAAGACACCAATCCCCCAGGGCTTCCCTGATGGGTCCCCTTGGCACATCAGGGCTTCCTTTAAGGACACACAGATCAATGGACAGTGGTTATGCCAGGATGAGATGACAGGAAAAAATTTCACTTCCTCTGTATCGTGTAAACATTTAGCCATCATGTATGTTCAGGGAAAAATAACAGGGACAGTTGCATTGAGAACATGTGGTGGGGACCCACTCCAGGTTTCTTTGCGACCATGCCCCGTGACCACTTTCACAGCTGCAGCTGCTCCTGGCTCCATCACCTGGTGGAGGCAGGCTGGGCATGGGGTCCCCTCCCCTGAGCGCCCCTCATACCCAGCAGCAGCTTGGCCTGCCAGCTCCCGCTCATGCCAGCCCCCTGCCCTCCCAGCCCACACCCCACCAGGACTCACAGTCGCTCCAGCTCCTTCATGTCATCGAAAGCCCCGCGTTCCACCGCTCCAATCTGGTTCTCCATCAGCTGCCTGGGGAAGCAAAGAGACAAGGACAGCTACAGGGTGTGGGACAAAGGCTGCTAGAAGCAGTGGGCATAACAGAAGGGCAGAGGCAAACTCTGCCAGGGCAGTGTTGGCAAGGGAGTGAGACAGGAGCCATGCCCAAGCCTCATGCAGGCCCACGCTTGGCCAGAGCGGACACAATTTCCTCACACCTTTGCAAATTTCCCAACACAGGCTACTCAGGCTCTCAGCATCTTACCTCACCACAAAACGCACTTGCAGCCCCACGACCCTCCAAAGCTGCCTGCCAGGGCAAAAGTCCACGGGGCACCCAAGCACCAGATCTTAGCTCCAATCAGGCTCCAGGGAGCCGGGCTGAGCAGCAGACAGCACAGGCTGGCTTGAGCTGCTGGCGTGCGTGCCCTGGCCTCTTGGGGCCCTGAAGGCATGTGTACAAGCAACAGAGCAGGGGGACCGGCCAGTAACGGGGGGGGGAGCCTGTGCCAAGTGGTCAGAGCCCACACAGGCAGCAACACACTCTACAATTGGCAGATAACATCCTCTCTGCCTGTACCCCACCCTGCCTGGCCCCATCTGCTGAAGAAACGAGCGGGGTACCCACGCCAATCAAACCACCTGGCTCTGTGGGACTCTGCGTCCCCTCGCCGCCAACGTGCCCTGAAACCCAGAGCATCCAGCTGGTGGGGCAGCATTTCTCACCAACAGATTGACTGTTGCATGATAACTTTTGAGATAGTCAAGTATGTTTGTCCCCCTGCATCTGTCCCTCTCCACCCGTGAGCAGGTGGCTTGCGTGCCCCTGCATGGGCTTCAGATGATGATGGGGGCAGGGCAGGGGGAACCGCCACCAGGCACTTCTCTTTCTCTGCTTTGTTTTCAAAAGCCTGAAGTGTAAGAAGCTCCTGTTGGAGGCCTGGGGGCAGAGAGGAGGGGAATCCCGGGAGAGAGGATAGGCTTCCCGCAGCAGACAGCCTGGTAGTCAGAAGGGACTCCCAGAGCCTGGGAAGGGCAGAGGTCGGGGGTTCTGGAGCAGATCCCTGCCCAGTGGCCTGTCAGCTCTGACCTCAGAGATGATTGCTCATGAGGTCCCTGATCCTCCAGAAACCCTCAGAACTGCAGAGCTGGGAGTTCTGAAAGAATGAGGTCCTAGGACACTTGCACTCCCCTGGAGCACAGGGCGACGGACCTTATGATGAGTTCAGACTCAAAACTCAACATCATCCCACCTGACACCCCTCAGGATGTCTTGCCAAGACTCACTCCACAGTGGAGCGGCCCAGCCAGCCCACCACCCTACCAGCCACAGCCAGGGCCCTGCCCAGGACCGCCGTGGCATTCTTGGGGGTGGGATGGGTGGGAGCACCGCATACTCACAGCACCCGCAGCTGCTTGAGCCCCGCAAAGTCATTCTTATGGATCCGAGTGATGTTGTTGCCATTGAGTTCCCTGGAGGAGGAAGGAGAGAAGGGAGCAGTGAGGTGACCCAGGGGGCCCCCAGGTCAGGGTCTCTGCTCCAGGCGCCCTCCCCACCTGGCGCTCCAGTCATCTCATCAGTGGGGCTGGGGGCTTCTGTGAGCTGAGTCTGTGTCAAGGTCCAAGAAGCTGGGCCCTCTTCCCAGCAGACATCCAACCAACTGGAGCCTTAGGTGCAGGACGCACCACGGGGAGAGCTATGGTTTCCAAAAATGTGGCTTCTGCCCTGATGCAGCTCATTCTGGTTGGAGATGAGACATTCACCCAGGGAGGAATCTGGAAACTAGTCAAGGAGAGAGGCTATTCAGGCAGAATCCTCGCTGAACCTCAGTTTCCTTATCTATAAAATGGGGGCAACAACTGTGTCTACCTCATAGGGTTAGCAGAGGTATAAGCAAGTAAAGGGCATCGCTTATAAAAGGCCCCCATGGGGACACCAGTGTTTTCACCTGGTGGCACTGGCTCCTGCGAGCTGTCCATATCTAAGCAGGAGAGAGCAGGGAGGGCAATGCAATTGTAAAGGACTGTGGAAGCAGGACGCAAGCTGAAACCCAAAAGACAGGGAAGAACTGCACACAACGACAGGGAGGGAGCAGATGTGCCCCGAGGACCACACTGCATCAGGCCTGGAGTAGCTGAGGGCCAAAGTGGACAGCAGACAGGCGGAGCTGGGAGCTGTGGGAAGCAGGGATAGGATAAGCTGGGCCCAGATCACAGAAGGCCAGAGGGTGCAAAGAGAGGAGAAACCGGGGCAGGCGGAGGCTCTGGGTGGAGAGGATGGGGCGCTGCCAGGAGGCCAGTCCTGCAGCAGTGAGCAGGAGGGCAGGCCAGGAAGTGAGCCCCCTCCCCCACCATCACTGGGGTCCTGCGGCCAGACTGACCGCTCCTCCTCTCACCCATGCTGGACTGCCCGGCTCCTCCTTCTTTCCAAGGCCACCTTGGACCCACCTGAAGAACTGTCTGCCCAACCTAGCCTCATTCAGTCTCACCAAAGCAGAACATTCCAGGAGTGAGGTTCTCCCCACCCCAGAGTCTCCTCACTGAGCCCCACACAGCAGAATCTCTCTCAGTCCTCACTCCAGCTGTTTCCTGTGGCATCTGTCTCCCTGGGGCAGCTCCCCGCTTACCTCCTCCTCTTCCTCAATACTGTCACCAGTGTGCTTTGCAACAACCTAACTGGACCTGCCCCAATATACACACATGCACAGGCACGCACATGGGCACATGCATGCTCACACATGCACGCACACACACACACACACACACACACACACACGCCCCATGTTCACCTGCAGCCCAGTCTTCTCACTTAGCCAACTTTAGTCAAAAGTTCTGGGTATAGCCATGAGCTCAACCCAAGTCCAAGCTACTTTGAGAAACAAAGTCCCTGTCCTCCAGGTGTTTAGAAAGTGCTCGGTCTGGGTGATGATCTAGGGTTGCTTCCACTAAGATCAACAACACACGGATTCCTTTTCTGCATCGTCCAGGATCCAGGCATTACACACACCCTCACACAATGCGAGAAAGTGGTAAAACCATGTTCATCCTTCAGATGAAAGCGGTTCCAAGAGGCTCGGTGTCTTCCCGAGGTCACCTGCTGGTAATTGACAGAGCAGGGATCTGAACCCATGACCATCTGGCTTTTTCCACCAGGTCAGGCTGTCTCAACACTCAGCACATCCTCTCGATGCCCTTCCCTCGGGCCTGGCTCCTGATCCTCAGAAGCAGCTGCAAAAACTCATTCCCTGCTCCTCATCCCTTTCCTAACAGGATTTCTCAGAAGGGCCTGAGGCCTTTCCATGCTAACACAAGCCACTGGTGACAGCCCTGGACTGAGCTACCTCCCCGCTACAAGGACACCTTCTCCGAATGAGATGGCTCTGCTCAATGTAAACATCATATTTCTATGAACTAAATAGTATTTCCAGAAACAGCCGCTCAGAGCCCCACTGTGTTGTACCCCAACCTGCTCCCTCTGCACCCTGCCCTTTCTTCAAACACTGAGAATGTCATCATGAAGCCCTTTAAAAGTGGCTCTCTTACCAAGCAGGGCTGGTTTTCTTTGGGCCGAAATGTTTATCCCCAAACCTAAAACCACAAGGCATTTTTGGTGGTTGTTTTTCTATTATAAAAATATGTCAGCAATGATTATAAGAGCAACAATCTTAAACAGCTTAACCAGATGCTAGTAGAGCACTGCTTGGTTGAACTCAGCACATGTGCAAAACTGAATACCATGCGGCCATTTAAAATGGTACAGTTCTATTTGTCTTGACAACAAAAATTGTGCATGACACAGAATGTGGGAAAAGGTCACAGGACAACCCTTTTCTATGAACCTGCTTGATATGGTTTCGCTGTGTACCCACTCAAATTTCATCTTGAACTGTAGCTCCCATGATCCCCATGTGTCCTGGGAGGGGCTGGGTGGGAGGTAATTGAATCATCTGGGCAGGTCTTTCCCATGCTATTCTCCTGAGAGTGAATGAGTCTCATGAGGTCTGATGGTTTTACAAAGGGCAGTTCTCCTGCACTTCTCCTTGCTGCCGCCACGTGAAGAAGGATGTATTTGCTTCCCCTTCTGTCATGAGTGTAAGTTTCCTGAGACCTCCCCAGGCCTGCGGAACTGTGAGTCAATTCGACCTCTTTCCTTTATGAATTACCCAGTCTTGGGTATGTCTTTATTAGCAACATGAGAACGGACTAATACACTGCTTATGTGGAAACACGTAAACACACACACAGGAATACATGTATGCGAATGAACACAGAATGAGCTGGGGGCTTCGTGCCACATAGTAATGGCTGCTGTCACAGCTGAGTGGTAGGACTCAAGGCGACCTTCGTTTCTTTTTTATACTTTTCTGCAATGTTTTTTATCTTTTTAAAGACATCTATGTTTTTACTAACCAACATAATATCCAATATAAAATATCCGTAATAGTCAACATATAAATAAAAATCATTGCATTTAAAAATGAGTACTATGCATATTACTGAATATTTTTCAATTTCCAAAAAAAAAAAAAAGTCATACATAATCCCTTCACTAAGAAATTACTCCTGTTAATGTTCTGAAATATTTGCCCTCAAGCCTGTTTTTGTTGAATACCATTTTTATATAGTTAAGTCAACAAATGTTTATGGAACACTTACTATGTGCAAAGCCTTTTTGTAATGTTCTGAAGAGGATGAATGAGACATACGTTACCCCTCCTTCTACAACCTCATACACTGTGTGTTCTCCACTTAAGATTCCGATTGGCCAGCAAGTGTCCCTTCGTTTGGATATAACAAGTTACTGGATTACTCCCTTCCTGATTCCCTGTGACTGGAATCCCCGAGCTTTAGATGTTGTCCAGTTATAAACAATATTTCATAAAGCTTGATGGGCATTTGGGAGGAATACATTCCTGCAAAAGGAATTACTTGGTCAAAGGTCATGAAAAATCTGATGAATTTTACATAACATTCATCACTCATTCCTTTTCATGGCAACAAAAGCAATTGACTATGACAATTATTCCCATTTCACAGATGACAAAACTGAGGCAAAGACAAACACTGACTTATCTGAACCAGGCAGGACCCAAAATGGAACCAAAGAATCCCTGAGGACAGAAATCCCACTAAGGTGGGGCAGAGGTGGAAGGGACATTCTGATAACACCCCACATTAGCACACCTCTCTTCTCACCCTTTTGTACCAGCCCCCATAGCGCAGGTGCAGGGGTGCATTCCTTGGTCCAGCCCCTCCTCCTTACTTCCTATACCCTACTCCACCACCACACAAGACTAAAGATGAATGGGGGGAAAAAGACACTGGCACAGACAGCAAGGCAGGCACAGCCTCTCTCTTGAGGTCCTGCTTCCAGGCCAGAAGGTCAAAAGAGACCCAAGCCCGCCCCAGCCTACCGCCATCAGCCTCGCTCTCTAATGTAGAGCTTGATGCCTCCTCTCAGGAAAGAGCCCCTCACCCCAGCCCGAAGCCTGCGAGCTCTCACTAAGCTCCCAGGACTGAGGGCTACTGCCTAAGGAGGCATCACTGCCACTTAGCCTGAGAAAGTGACCTCTACTGGGTAACCCACCCTCTCTCCCTGCAGGATCAAGTTCAAAGCCAGTCACTTCCCCTGAGCAGGGGCTGCTAGAATAAGGCTAGGAGGACATTTTTATGCCGCATCTGATTCCTCCAATAGGAGGTTCTCAATGTTCCCATGGAGCCCCCTCCCCCAACAAACTGCTAGGGGGAGACTGGTTGTTGTCCCCAACAACCTGTAAGGGGAGTTATATGCTCTCCAACTTGCTAAGGAAGAAACTGAGGCACAGATGCATGAAGCAGCTTGCACAGTACCCACATGGCTAATAAATGGTGGGGCCTGGATTAGCCCCTGGCCCATGTGATTCCTACACTGTCTCCTACGTCACAAGTTCTCCTATTGCTGGACTCTCCCTCTGTCCCCTCATCCCGTCCTCTTACCTCGAATGGCCATGCCTTGGACAGAGCTGAAGAGCATAACCTGGGGGCTTTGGAGAGGACATGCCTGCACTGGGGCTCTGCAATAAAACCATGTGCTCTGCCTACACAATAATATTGGGGGTTCCCCAGCCAGGCTGAGCTAAGTGTTCTTAGTCTCCAAAACTGTGGGCTCTGGAGCCAGATCATTCGGCTTTGAATTCTGGCTCCACCATTACACTGGCTGTGTGACCCTGGACATGTAAGTTAGCTTTTCTATGCCTCCGTTTCCCCATTTATACAACGAGGAGGTGGCAGGACCCACCTCTTGGAGATGTGGTGAGGTTTAAAAGTCTTGATATTTCTAAAACACCAAGAATAATGCCTGGCACACAATTCGTGCTCTCTATAGCAGGATTACCTGCTGCGATTATCCTTACTACTGTCACTGTTGTGATTTCCCTCTAGGACCATGGCTCTGCCAGGAGGTGGTGTCCCCAGGCTCAGCTCTGACTGGCAGGCCTAAGCTGAACTGGGAGGAGTCAGAGACTCACTTCCCTGCAGGCCCGAGGATGCGATGCCGAAGACCAGGGAAGACACCCTAAGACGATTCTCCCACTTCCACAAGTGATGAGTTTATAGTCATCCTTCTCCCCAAGGAGGAAAAATGCTCCAGTGGCAAATGGCCCTGATTTCCCTCCATTTCTATGTGGTCCTGGCCTGAAAGGAAAACCTCAATGGCAAACGATATGGGAGAAAATCCTCCAAAGCAAAGTTACCAAGGAAAAAACAAAAACACACAAGGATTTCTTGAATCCTCTCAGGAAAAAAGAATTTGATCCCCAGTCTCTGGATGTTTGTGAGAAACCAAAAGAAACCCTGGGATTTCCTGGGGCTACAGGAATACACTCCCCAGGCCCCTCTCGGCTGTTCTGGGGGCTCCTGGCGCTGCCTTCACAATTTCTCAAGCTGATGCTCCAGCCATTCCTGTTCCCTCAGGGACCAGAATGTTCCTTTCTCATCACAGCCTGCAGTGAATGGGGAGGCTCACCCTTCCTGCAGGGTATCAAAAAAAAAAAAATCGCACATGCTGTCACTGAATAAGACAAGCCTCTTCAGGAACTGTACACCCAGCTCTGCTTTGAAATCTTACCCCTGCAGTGCTGAAAGTCTGCAGAGTCAGATGGGGAGAAAGGAGGAAAGAAAAATTTCCCTCCCAAGCCGCTGCCCAGACAGCAGTAAAGGGGCCCACAGAGGCCTAACACCCCAATCTGTAGACTGGCCCTGGCTGCGTTTCTCCCACGCCACCCCCCAGCAGCAACACCCACCCCAGGCCTCTACCCTCGAGCCTGAGTCCTGCAGCGCCGCCTCACAGGCTCCCTGCATTCATTTTGGCCCCCTCCAATCTGCTCTCCAAGTGGTCTTTTCAAGATGCAAATCTGATCATGTCACTCTCCACTTAAAGCCTTCAATGAATCTCCATTGCTCTTGGAATCAAGACAAAAATCTCCTTACTGGCCAGGCACAGTGGCTCACGCCTGTAATCTCAGCACTTTGGGAGGCTGAGGCAGGTGGG